ACCTCAGAACGGCTAGTTTAACGCTTGCATATTCAGTTCCGAACGTACTTATTGCTTCCATTATGTTTTTTTCGTAAACGCCAGCACTTATCACTCATAAGTAGAACACTTACCTCTCACAGCAACCGAGTTGTGAAAGTTTGCTGCTGGCCCTTGAAGAGTCCTGCGTTTTCGATACATACAGCGAATCAGCCGATATGCAAGCAATCGAATCAATGACACCGGCAGATTCGCCGCCTGCCACATGCCTTCGGTGAGGTTAATGGTCATCCATATCCCGGGTCGTGCTCCCAGCATCCAGTGCTTCCTGTCCCAATGTAACTCTATAGCTCTAACCTTTAAGCCTACGCTTATCTCCCTTCATATCTTGCTCGTTCTACTTGCACTACTAAGTTTCTTAACAAGCGGCTAAACCACATCTATCAAAACTCAGCACTCTCTCACCTAGAATGTTATATCTCTTCAAAAAAAATGTGGCTTGGGAAGTAAAACACTAGAATTAGACCACAAGATGGCGGAGAAGAATTGTTTGAAAAAGTTGGATGTAGGCAGGTTCAAATTGCGAATGCTTAATGGTTGCCATGTCTCTAGATTTTACGCGTGGCTATGCTATGACGCTATGTAGCCCAGTACTCCTTAAATGCGGTGATAGCACAGATATAAAGCAGCTCAACACACGGCCATCCTCTGTCACCGATGTCAATCTATTGTTTGAATAAGAAATCTGGAATTGTCACAAGCAAATTTTAGCGCGCAGACAAAGTAGAAACTGGGCGGCTTCTTACTGCTCCTCTTGTCAATCAATCTTGCGCATATTTTGTTTCCATTACTTGTCATTCGATTTCTTACCTAATTCCCCAACTACTTGCTCGATACAGCAAAAAACCATAATAGTTCGATCCAAAAGTCGTGCAAGTTGGAAGCTCCTACATGAGCCTGAAATTGCGAATGAACATGATATAATACAAAAGTATGCAAATCGTAGCCGATGAGTGAGCTTTAGCGGAGATGGGTCCGGCGACGATTCCGATAAACACACTTTCGTCTTTATATAATATAAAGCGGTTGTCCTTTGGCTACATATTTCGAAAGACTTATCGCTAGCTGCAATGTAAGGTACAATTAACTCTTGGATTATAATGACGATGCATCCTTCCTACTTTCTCTGACTTCTATGGGACAACCTGTACATATGTCTCCTCACAAATTTCGGTAATCAGTCCATGG